AGGAGGGGAGAGGATGTGTGTTCACCTGAAGGAGGCAAGTCTAGTGGAATGATGTCCCTGTTTGTCCGTGAATGCAGGGAAAGTGTTATGTCCTCCCGCGAGATACGCGGACATATTTGGGCCAGATTTTATTGGTGGTATCAATGGTGATGATGGTATCGAATACACCTGCCAGGTGTGACTTAATGAATAAATTTGTTCTCATGGACTCGGGGACTATAGATCTATCTCGTAAATAATAATAAATAGCATCGCATATCCATGCTCTACAACAAACTCTATGCGCCAAATAATCTATACACACGATTTACTTGGAATGGGGAAGCAAAAGTCCCATCAGAACTATTTTGTCCAAAGCAAACTCTGTAGTGGAATACATTTTGGACAAAATAGTTCTGAGGCGAAGAAAGTTTAATGCCCAAACTATTTTCTTTTTCTAAATATATAAATTTAGGTATCAGGAAGAAAAATGATGCAGTAAAAAAAATCCCCAACAGACACAAGCAACTTCAATACTTGGCGTACGGAAAAGGTCGCAATATGCACACCAAAAATTGCACTACTCGGTACTCATCTTTTACTCGATACCATCAGAAAAAACTGGCAAAATTCCTGCGTTCGATCCATCCCCACGTGTGCTGTATTCAGAGCCAAGCTTTGATAAACTTACAGCTGGGTCAGGCACATAAAGGTGCAAGTTGTAGAACCATTAAACACGAGTACACTGGGCCAGGGGTCTTCAAACGTTTTTGGATCGCGACCCCGTATTGCTTTCTATATGCGCTATATGTGCGAGACGATTCTCAAGACTCATAATGCACTAAAATTGTCCAAGATGGCCACCCATTGTCGAGGAGAAAAGTGGTTGTCGTTGACGGGTGGATGTCTTGGGCAGTATCATTTTAATATTATAACAAAGCAAGTGGGTAATGGGAAGTGGTCGTTCGTAGATGTGATTCTCTTGGACATGGGGCCGTTAGAGCAGGTCTGACTGTATTCACAGCTGGGTGAGACATACACAAGTAACTATTAAACAAGAGTACACTGGGGTGGGGTCTTCAGATGTTTTTCGATCGTGACCTAGTTGTTTTTTGTTTTTTTTTCTACATGCACAAAACGTATCCCAAGAC